GCGTAGCTAACCTCAACGTGATAGGCACGTTACCATAATCGAATAAAATAATTCGAAGTGGTCTGTATAATGACAATTTCTCAATCAATTAGGTATGAGCAAAATTAGTTTTGGTCTTACGAAAATGCAAGACGAATATCAAGTCATTATTGGTCATTATTAAAATCTCTACTAATATTATAAAGCTGAAGAGTTTGTTCGTTTGTTTACTTGAACGCGCTAATCTCAGGATCTACTGGTCCGATTTGAAAAATTCTTTCAGTGTTAGATAGCCCATTTATCGAGAAAGGCTATAGGCTATATATCTTCATGCTAAGACCAATAAGAGCGGAGCACCAATGAAGAATGTTTCAAAATCGGTTTTTTCCTTTCGAGAGCTTACGCTGCGTAAACGGTTAAATTTTCGCAAAAATCATGTATGGCAGAATTGTTCGCCCTTAAATGTTCCAAAAAAAATCCGGGACAGCATATAACTATCTTTTAAGGTTGGCTCACTAAAACCTATTTTATGCTAACCAAATTTGTTCTAAAATAATGCATTATTTGCGAAGGTGTTTTTATAAACATGATATCAATCTTCGTCCAAATAAATACGTTATTCATATGTAGGTACCTAAAATAGCTCTTTAACGTACGCATTATTTAAAAATATTTTCACCTACTACGTAAACGAAGTCGGGGGTTAAAGTTAGCGTTAGCCGAAAGTAACTATCTCACGCGGACGAAGTCGCGGACAGAAGCTAGTCAGTAGGTACCTGGTACCTGTAGATATATATTTTAATGTATTAACAGACGATTGTAGATATTTAATAATAATAATTTGCCTGAAGTGAAGCTATGAATATTGAACCACGTTCGTATGACACGTACAGCATATTTTGTTGTGCAATAACTAACTGTTAATTTCAAATAGCTTCCGCACAGTAGTAAAATGTCAAATAAATTCTCTTAACACAACAGCTGCTTTTACAATGGATGGCAATCACAATTCAGGATCCATTTCGCTCTCATATATTTTAGGGTCGAATGAAGTTCTGTCATGCCGATACCGAACAAACAGAAGCGCATATACATAAATACATACACGTATGGACACACATACACACCTACGTGTGTGTAGCCGACTGACTTAGTCCATACGTTAATCCAGATACCTATGATAATCCTACTGTAAATAGAAATGCTTGTACCAGTGGCAGTCAGTGATTTGCTAACTACAACTCAGAACTTCAACAAACTGTGAATGAAATGAACTTGTAATTTAAAAAGACGTCTGCTTTTCTATAAATAGGTAGTTTAGTTGCAAATATTTAGCACTTATCATCATCATAAGGTCGTCAGTCCTAAGACTGGTTGGGCACGTACCTCCACTCTTTCCTATCCTGAGCTAAATTTCGCATTTCCCTAACACAAGAACATCCCATATCCTTAACTACTTGCGAATAGTAATCTAATCTAGGTCTACCTCTACCCCTCCTAACTCCTGTTTCTGCCTCTAATATGTCTCTNTGTAAATAGAAATGCTTGTACCAGTGGCAGTCAGTGATTTGCTAACTACAACTCAGAACTTCAACAAACTGTGAATGAAATGAACTTGTAATTTAAAAAGACGTCTGCTTTTCTATAAATAGGTAGTTTAGTTGCAAATATTTAGCACTCATCATCATCGTAAGCTGGTCAGTCAGACCAGTTGGGCACGTACCTCCACTCTTTCCTATCCTGAGCTAAATTTCGCATTTCCCTAACACAAGAACATCCCATATCCTTAACTATTTGCGAACAGTAATCTAAACTAGGACTACCTCTACCCCTCCTAACTCCTGTTTCTGTCTCTAATATGTCTCTGACTAGACCTTCATGCCTGAGAAGGTGTCCTACCAACCTATCTCGCCTATTTTTTATTGACTTCCATAGAGTCCTCTGTTCTATTATTTCTAATACCTCTTCATTTCCAACCTTCTCCATCCACGGTATCCTCATCATTCGCCTATAACACCACATTTCGAACGCTTCTAACCTTTTCTTTTTTGCCGCGCCCACTGTTCATGTTTCACACCCGTACAAAGCCGCGCTCCAAACATACACATTTAGCTGTAATATACAATAATTAATATGACACCTAGTGACCTCATCTCATGATTGAGTAATTAACTATGATACTGTAGTAATTGTCATTTACTAAACTTTGTGTTTGTTTTCATCTGAGTAAAGCAAGAATTAATGGGAATGATTTTGACTAGAATTATTATTACATCAGGATCTCTTCAAATAGGAATACCTACATATGAAAAACATCAAAGCACCGAAAATTACTAGAAAACCTGTTGTACAAATGGGTTGTTTCTGATCAAGTCTGTTTTTTTTTTGGAAAGATATGGAGAGAATGAAGCACATTTCCTGAAGGAAACTTTTAAAATAATCGGAAGATTGTAATTTGATAATCACAAAGAAGGTCGACATATTTTGACAATTTATTATAGCACAAAAATAATCGAATAATTGTCAAACTGATTTATAACGTTTTAATTTTAACCATGTAAGAAGTTTTGTACACGTTTTAATTTGTTTACAATACCTCTTTTGATTTCGGGTCTCGCTTTTAATTTCTAAGAGGAGTATTGAAAAATTATGGCGGAGGTGCTGGGAGTCATGTTTATTAACATAATGTAATAAAAGAGACAGCTTATATACGTGAAGGGCAATAATAAGTTGAGTTCTTGGTCAGTAATTTTTCGAAACATTTGGACACAGATTATCATTTCGATCTCATGAGATTTCATCGTCACGTCATAGATATTCTCGATAAATCACTGTTCATACCGAGGATACTCCATATTTATAAAACATCGAGTTTACAACATTCGTCCTTAGTGAAATTTTCCATAAATTATATGGTGATTTCGTGTAGATAAAGGAATTGTCAAAATAGATTCAGTTAAGAATTATTTAGGACAAAATGAGACATCCATTATGTGCTTATATAGGGTCCACTCCAGCCCATATGCTTGAAAGTCAGAATTTAGATAATCTAAAATCCCAAGAGAGCAAAATATTGGGGATTTCGACAGTAGGGATTTTTGGAGGCATCGGTACATAGAAGTTATTCAAAACGACAAAATATAGAATATATTATCTATTAATTGAAGGATTATAAATAACAATATCTTTTATTCTATGTAGGAACCAATAATAAAGTAAAGATAACTTTTTGAGAAACTTTCAATTGTTTGTGGTTCCACATTTATCATTAAAATAAATCTTCTGCCAAATCCAGACATATGTTTTACTCTTTTTGTATTTGTTCCGAACCTTACGCGTAAATCTGCTAACTTAACTCATTTTGAGTCGTTTTACGTCTTTAATTTGCACTTTTCTTACCTATTTATGATCCATTTTAAGAAAAGCCCATGTGCTCCTTCTACAAACACATGTACGCAAGCATAGGCGAGTGCTTCTACTTTAATTGCACTGGCATAAGGCCATTCTGTAGGAGGCATTAAATTTAATTTTGTGAGTGCAGGTGCATTCTGGTAATTTTTCCATTAAAGTAACTTCGTTAGTAACCACATACCAGGCCTCTATGTGCTTTAGTTTTAATCTGGTCGAGGCAATAAAATAAAAGTGTCATATTTCATTCGTGAAAATTACATCTGGCTAAAAGGTACTAAATTTTTTTATTTACTTCGTTAAAACCTTTCTGTTGACATAAAGAGATTGCCAATTTTAATTAGATGATATTACTCAGCAATAATTAAGCCAATTAGGCTGCTCACAAACTCAGCCACTTGTGGTCGTCATCAGAAGATGCCACTCGTGGCATTATCGACCACTAACTGTCGCCACATTCAATCAGCTGTTTAATTTCGATTTAAAAATAAAAATTGTTAATATTATCCATTCCTTTCAGTAACCGTTTTGTGGAACGCGCTTTTTCTTTCGTGATGGGAAATTGAATGCCCATAAGTTCTCTAAGAAGCTGTTTAGAATTAGTAAAGTTCTTGAAAAGACCAGAACAGGAATAATTGCTTGAAAATGAATTGAAAATATTTTAAGATCCCAAATGGACCAAGGAGTAGTGTTGAAGTTAATCTACATGCTACATTATTGAATTTAAGTTAACTAAAAAACAGTTCCTTATAAAGGATAGCTCTAGAAAGGAACTGTAATGAAACTGTGTCAAAACTGCTTCAGTTTAAACAATAGTCGGTGGCAGTAGTTAAATTAACCGCTTCTTGAGGCGGCCACAGGTGGCTGAATGTACCACTGAATTTGAAAAATATACACCTCTTTGTCCTACATCGTAACCCATCAATTTTAACCCTGTAAAATGAGAGATTTGAAAATAATATCGAAAAAGTTTAAATCTTCCATGAATGAAAATCCCTTATTTCTCTTTTATCTTTTATGGTTGTTGTCGGATTATGTTTACATTATAATAGAACAAAAGATTTACTCATACAGGTTTTCCCAAAGGAAATTGAAAAAAATGGAAGACAATCATTACCTTATCTTAAACGGCTGTTACCCTTGGAAATAGTTTGTTATTACGCTCTAATAAAATTCTTTGCCATTCAAATTATTACGGTCTGTTGACAGTAATTTGGCACCTAATTGGAAAACGACAGTCAGATTTCTTTACTTTTGTATCTATGTATAAGCCGAAGCCATCGAGTCGAACAAAATTGACATGGAAGGAAAGAATAAAGGAGATAAAAACTTCTTGCTGCTGAACTTAACGCTTAAAATTGAACCATAATGCCTTATTAATAACATAAATTGGTAATTAAAGTAATTATGTGTAAAAATCATTTAGAATAGAAAAAAGACACCAGATTTCGAACTTATTAGTTCTCGTCAGCACCCAGTGTGAATAAATTCCATAAATAATTGATCAAATCGAAATTGCTTAAATACAAGCAGGTAACTGATAGTACCTATAGCGACATCTGACGATATTTACCAATAACATTAGCAATTCATTCAATAAATCATTTAAATTTGTTCCAATATCGCAATCACACTAAGATAAAAACTATGAGCGGTTATGTCCCCGACAATTTAGTTTTTTTTGACGATGAGTTCGTGTTGATTTTTTTCTATTTTCATTTGACTACTTCTTTTTGGGGCATATTGTACGTAGACATGCACAAATGCTTTCAATTAGAACGGTCACTCTATAGAACGTGAGCGCATGTTTGAGAATTTCATATACGCTTCCTTTCGATGGTTCCGGCAGAGAAGGAATGTGATTGTAGGAAGTAAATGAAGTCATGTGGCGTTCACTAATTACATTTCCAATGTAAGGCAAACAAATATATTTCAGATCTAACCCAATGGAGGATTCTATTAATCCCTGTTTAATAATTACACTTCTTTTATATTAAGATAGTTTTTTAGATTTTATGTTAAATATTTAGAATAACCTTGGAAAAGGTTCTAGAAGATGCAGAAATGGTTAGAAGACTAAAAGGTGATTAAAATGTAATGATGTGGTACTATAACTATCCGAGATAAAAATGTTCAGTCTCCCAGAGTCTCTGAAAGCGAGACTCGAGTCTCCGTCTCTCATCGAGTCTCTCTGGTGTCGCTAAGAGAAACTGTCAAAAAAACTGTTTAGCGTCTCTGAACGAAAGGCTCGAATCTCTCAGTAAGTGGTGTCTCGATAGACATGGTTAAAAAAAAAGTTAAAGTTCAACATATTACAGAAATCCGAGTCTTTCTACAAAAGACTCGAGACTTTCAATTTTTCAGTTTTATTCATTCAGTCTCTCTGTGAGAGACTCGAATCACCGAATTAACAATTTCATCGTTCGAGTCTCTCATACAGAGACTGTGAGAGATCCATAAAAACACCTAGGCAATAACTGAGAGACTGTGCAAGGCGGTGAGAGACGCTCTCAGAGACGCTGAAAGACTCTGAGAGACTGGAGAGAGACTGAAAATTTTTGTCTAGGGTACACAACTAATTTTACATAACAAATTAGATGGACACTAAGAAATTATAAATTAACTATCACATGCTAAAAAATGATTTACTTTAATGTTGAACTACAATTTCGTAAATTTATATTGAAAATAAATAGGTAGTGTAGTGGTGGACCCACGTTTCGTCAACGGTTACGAATCGACGCAAAAATTCGCTTGGATTACGCTTATACAATGACAAATTTGCGGTAGAAATGTTTTTTCGAATCAATTTTTGGTCGACTGTTAGCAAACGCGGCACCCATCTTGCACAGAGCTTTTCCATATGCAAAT